GTGCATTACCGCCACCTATCTCTCAAGTGGACCATTGACACTCCTAATTGAGATTGTAGATAGAGTGTCAATGGTCCATTTGAGAGATAGGTGGCGGTAATGCACTTATAAGTCTGCGATCCGCCGTAAACCATGAAGAGAACGTGCTCAGGAGGATGCGCCGCCGCTCAGGACAGTTCGGACATTGCGTGAATCAGAGGTAAAAAACGATATAAATACTGTTCTGTTTCTTGCACAGACCAATCGTTTTGTGTCTTTACACATCAATGTATCGTCACGAGCCGCAGGGTTTAATTTGGTTTTGTTTGTGTATGTTTTTTTTTTACTCTCAAACCCGTGATTCCCATTCACCTCCATTTTAAGACTGACAGACTGCAACGGTTTAAGTTAAAAATCTTTGTTTGTGTTCTACTGAAAAACAAAGAAAATTTTCATTTTTGGGTGAACTATCCCTTTAACTTTTTTAGTAGCGTGACGGAAGTTGTTTTCTAATTGGTGTAGGTTTTCCAGTTACAAACTACAGTAGTCAATATTTGAAGTGGATCAAAAAAGTTAATCAAAGACAAGAACAGGTATTGTTTTGGTTTTAGGACAACTTTGATGAAAGGTTTTGATCCACTTCAAATGTTGACTACTATAGTTCATCCTAAACAGTTCTCTCTCTAATATGTAACAATGGAAAAATTTATTTATTTTAGTGAATCTGTTCATTCTAAACAGTCCTCTCTGTCATATAAGGCATTGATTCAGACTTACTTATGAGCAGTGTTGTTAAAGTTAAAGGGTTAGTTAACCCAAAAATGAAACTCAGCCCATGTTTTACTCACCCTCAAGGCATCCTAGGTGTATATGACTTTCTTCTTTCAGACGAATCCAATTGGAGTTATATTAAAAATGATGCTTGCTCTTCCAAGCTTTAGAATAGGCGGTAGGCGGGTGTTTTTGTTCAACAGTCCAAAATATGTCAAATAAAGCGCATCCATCCATAATAAAACATGCCTCACACGGCTC